GATTTAATCACGCGAATCTCTCTAAAAATTTTTCCGAACAAAAATAATTTTTGATAAAAATAAACCATTTTGATGATTAAAATTATATAAAAATAATCATTTTATTACATATAAAATTTATAAATTTTTTTATATTAAGTTAATAATACATCAAAAATTTAATCAAACTTTTTTAAACGTTAAATTTAAGAATTTAATTTATTTAATTGTAGTTTTTTTTTTAAATATGCTTCTATATAAAAAAAATTTAATATAATAATTAATACTTTTAAGCATTGATACAGTAACGTATTGTGTGTACAGTACTTGTACAGTACAGTACAGTACAGTACATGTAAGACATCCACTACTATGATTAAATTTTAAATCTTTCTTAGTAGAAAGAATTTCCTTTTATCCTGATTTTTGTCATTCTAGGAGAAGAATCAACAATTTACTTTTATCTTTTAGACATCGCCTAGTCTTTTACAACTTTATGCATTTCTAAAGCAATAATATTTGCTTTCAAGTAATATATTTTATTTGAAAGGTTTTCTATAATATTAGCAGAACAACTATCTGTCATTTCGATTAAATTAAAAAAAAAAACAATTTTTNTTCCAGATGACGAACAGAAGGTAATTGTGTAAACTATGTCAACCGAAAGATTAAATTACAATATTCAACTTTGACAGTTTGAAGTACAAAGAAAGGAAAAAAAAAGGAAGGAAAAAACCCTAAAGTTTACACATCAACTTGCCTATATTGAATTGCTTTATCTGTTCGAATAAATAGAAAGAAACTTAATAAAGTTAATTAGCAATTAAATTATATATAAATTTAATTAAAAAAATAATTAATAAAATTTAATTCGTTTACTAATTAAATAATTTTTTTAAAAAAGAGTTTTTAAATAGCTATTAATTATAATTAAACTAATCTGCCATTAAAAAAAATAAAATTATCGTTATATAAAATTATATAATAATAATAATAATAATAATAATATTTGCGTAAACAAAAAAAAATGTATTAAAAATTTTGCTGTAAATAAAAATTAAATATTGCTTACTTACATTAAGCAAATTTCTATTCAATAGAATCGGGTATAGAAAATTGCAATTTAAATAAATAAATAAATAAATAAAATTACATAAATATTTTAGAATAATGAGTTGAAAGTAGTTAGAATAAATAAGAAATTTGGAGCAGATGCAAAGTTAAGAAAAGGAATAAAATAAGAATTTGTTTTTTCTTTTTTTTTTCCTTAATGTAAAAATAATTTATAATCGGCACTTAAGTATAATTAAATATAAATTTAAATGTGTTTATCATTATCAAAATATCCCATCTTTCAACGAGTTATTTATATTTATACTTAAGTTTAAATGTATATTAAATTAATTTCTATTATTCTACTTAAATTTTCGTATAAAATATAAACAACTTGTTGATGTATTCTTTATATATATAATTTTAAAAGAACTTCTATTGATATAGATAATGACAAGAAACTTCAAGTTAAAGAATATAAAATGATTGATTAAGATTAGATTCTTTATACGTGTTTTCCCTCATTTTAAATTATGTTTAAATCGACTATAATATGCATTTTCTCTCAATCGTTTCGTGAAGTTATTACGTTTATGACAGACATTTTCCAACACCATTACGATGTTTAATGCTCATATATTTAGTGAGGAAAAAAAAAATATATATATATATATATATTTATAACGCTGTCTATAACTTCTTAATAAAGTTTTGAAGGTTATACACGTCATAAATATTACTAAATTACAAAATTTCGTTGATATAATATTGAATAAAATTAATTGGTTTTACGCTTTCGGGATCAATTTCTACAGCTTGGAATTATAGCTTGAAAGTTTGAAAATTAGAAAGGAAATACATGCAATTAAAATTATTTTAACGATTATCAATGAAGTCAATAAATTAATACTTTCTTTGACGTGATGTTAATTAAGTTTCCATAGCTACTCCATCATTATAAGTTAAGATGAAACGTTATCAATCAGTTAAAGAACTTCAATAAATCGAACTGTAAATGCTAGCATTATTTGTCTTTTTTTTTATCAGACAAGGACCATTTTTTTTTTAACCTATCAGACATATGTCACTTTTTAAGGCATCGAACATTCTTCAAATTGATAAATAAGTAAATGGCAACAAAGTAAACTAAGTTTATCAACAGATATACGTTTCTAAATCTCTTTTTAAAATGTATGAAAATTATTTCGGATTTCGTGAAATAAATACAAATTTTAAAGAATATATTACAAAAAATTTCAAAATTAAAGAAATATATTTTAATTTCTATAGATAAAAAGTTACCTGGATGAAGCATCAGTTCATACCTGTCTTCTTCAGCATCCTTTGTTAGTGAAGATGTAAAGAAGCAGCCTTTGAAGCAACGTTATGATTTAACCTATTTAAAATTAATTTATTCTATGTTTCGTCTTTCTTTTTATTATTATTATTATTATTAAAAAAAATCTATTAATATCCCTTTAATTCTGAGCGTGGAAGAAAGAAAAACAAAGTAAATATTTAAGTATGATGTTTTCTGGTGATAAACTTCACACTTCTGTGCATTTTAATTATCTAACATGTAACAGTTAACTGGTACCTCACAGAACCAATTGCTTTCATTGTTTGCTTTAGAGTTTGGAGTAGAAATGTTGATAAGATATTAGAATGACAGATTTCAACGTAATTAGAAACAAGAATACAATGAAATTAACTTATAAAAAAAAAACAAGATTTTTCTCTTGTTTTTTTTTTAGTTAATTTTACTAAAAGCCATTACTCGGTAATAGTAATTAATGTCCGAAAACGAAACTGATTAATGATAATTATCATAATTAATTTCTGAAACTAAGAATGGTATGATCAATGATGTTCATACAATTTCTAAGGATGATCCCAACAGACAAACCAGTGTGCTCTTAGTATAACAGCTGAGATCTCAATGGATAAATAGGAGTTACTCATATTAATATCCTATAGGAGATATTCAGATCACACAATTCGATAACTCGATTAATTGAGATAACTAATGTCACAATTCGTAATCTGTAAACTGTTTGCAAAGTTGTAAATTTAATGTATCTTAATCTAAATTTATTAAAATCGTGTAGATGTAGCGTAAATATAGACCCCTCCTTTTTATTATTATTAATTTTTTTAACCTTTCTTCTAACATTGTGTGGCGATAACGATCCCATAAGAGAAGAAAACTCTTCCAGATGACGAACAGAAGGTAATTGTGTAAACTATGTCAACCGAAAGATTAAATTACAATATTCAACTTTGACAGTTTGAAGTACAAAGAAAGGAAAAAAAAAAGGAAGGAAAAAACCCTAAAGTTTACACATCAACTTGCCTATATTGAATTGCTTTATCTGTTCGAATAAATAGAAAGAAACTTAATAAAGTTAATTAGCAATTAAATTATATATAAATTTAATTAAAAAAATAATTAATAAAATTTAATTCGTTTACTAATTAAATAATTTTTTTAAAAAAGAGTTTTTAAATAGCTATTAATTATAATTAAACTAATCTGCCATTAAAAAAAATAAAATTATCGTTATATAAAATTATATAATAATAATAATAATAATAATAATATTTGCGTAAACAAAAAAAAATGTATTAAAAATTTTGCTGTAAATAAAAATTAAATATTGCTTACTTACATTAAGCAAATTTCTATTCAATAGAATCGGGTATAGAAAATTGCAATTTAAATAAATAAATAAATAAATAAAATTACATAAATATTTTAGAATAATGAGTTGAAAGTAGTTAGAATAAATAAGAAATTTGGAGCAGATGCAAAGTTAAGAAAAGGAATAAAATAAGAATTTGTTTTTTCTTTTTTTTTTCCTTAATGTAAAAATAATTTATAATCGGCACTTAAGTATAATTAAATATAAATTTAAATGTGTTTATCATTATCAAAATATCCCATCTTTCAACGAGTTATTTATATTTATACTTAAGTTTAAATGTATATTAAATTAATTTCTATTATTCTACTTAAATTTTCGTATAAAATATAAACAACTTGTTGATGTATTCTTTATATATATAATTTTAAAAGAACTTCTATTGATATAGATAATGACAAGAAACTTCAAGTTAAAGAATATAAAATGATTGATTAAGATTAGATTCTTTATACGTGTTTTTCCTCATTTTAAATTATGTTTAAATCGACTATAATATGCATTTTCTCTCAATCGTTCCGTGAAGTTATTACGTTTATGACAGACATTTTCCAACACCATTACGATGTTTAATGCTCATATATTTAGTGAGGAAAAAAATATATATATATATATATATTTATAACGCTGTCTATAACTTCTTAATAAAGTTTTGAAGGTTATACACGTCATAAATATTACTAAATTACAAAATTTCGTTGATATAATATTGAATAAAATTAATTGGTTTTACGCTTTCGGGATCAATTTCTACAGCTTGGAATTATAGCTTGAAAGTTTGAAAATTAGAAAGGAAATACATGCAATTAAAATTATTTTAACGATTATCAATGAAGTCAATAAATTAATACTTTCTTTGACGTGATGTTAATTAAGTTTCCATAGCTACTCCATCATTATAAGTTAAGATGAAACGTTATCAATCAGTTAAAGAACTTCAATAAATCGAACTGTAAATGCTAGCATTATTTGTCTTTTTTTTTATCAGACAAGGACCATTTTTTTTTTAACCTATCAGACATATGTCACTTTTTAAGGCATCGAACATTCTTCAAATTGATAAATAAGTAAATGGCAACAAAGTAAACTAAGTTTATCAACAGATATACGTTTCTAAATCTCTTTTTAAAATGTATGAAAATTATTTCGGATTTCGTGAAATAAATACAAATTTTAAAGAATATATTACAAAAAATTTCAAAATTAAAGAAATATATTTTAATTTCTATAGATAAAAAGTTACCTGGATGAAGCATCAGTTCATACCTGTCTTCTTCAGCATCCTTTGTTAGTGAAGATGTAAAGAAGCAGCCTTTGAAGCAACGTGTCTGCAGATTGGACGGGTAACACTTAACTGTACACTATATCCCGTCTCGATTGCGCACCCTAGTGATGATTTCTCGAACTACTACTGCGAAATATCTTCAACATCATCCCCAGAAGGAAGAGCGAGAGAGAAAGAGAGAGAGAGAGAGAGTGAGAGATGCTTTAATATTTTAAACGTCGTCTTAAATTTTATAAGATTCTTATTAAACGATTATTATCTGTATTAAAATTATTGAGATAATACAGATCGAAACATTATCTAGGTCAGTTTATCGACACGTTTATTCTATCACGAAAGAACTTATCAAATAAGGTTATATCAACAATTTATCCTCTGTTTTACTACACGTAAAAATTGTATAATTTAATTAATATCGAGTAATTATTTTTATAAATTTATATAATTTATTACTGAAGAAAAAAAAAACAATACGATATTTTCCTCATTCGTAAGTTTTTAGGAATAATTCTTGACTTATCATACTCGATCGATCGATGATTTCTATAGATTCGGGATCTAATGAATAAATTTTAAATATTCTATACTAAAGCTTTAGTTATTCACTTTAAATTGATTTCCGGTCGAGAGCCGAGGAGACTAAAAAAAAAACTTTATTTTTTTTATTTGTTTCTCTTTTATATCGATCAAAAAAATAAAAAACTCTTTAAAAAACAACTTTAGAATAACCTGTTTATGTAACAAACAAAAGTTTTTACCGTGTTATTTTTGAACTAAATTGGGCAAAAAAAAAATAAAAAATAGAAAATTTGAAACTAAACGATGCGTAGTCTTCACTCTTTATTAAATTTACAAGTTATGTATAATGTTTTTAATGTAAAAACAAAAATTAAATCATAAATACAATGCTTTAATATTATAGTCATCTAGTGCCATCTATTATTACTCTATGAGATGTGGCATTGTTTCCGATGTTTTAAATCGATTACTAAACTAATACGAAAGACGAAAATAGAATACTGTATTTACTATTTAAATTAATATATTTTAATTTTAATTATTAGACAGGACAACAGAACGAAATGGTGTAGTTAAAAGATGTGTTGTTTTTTCTTTGTTAGTGTTAGAGATCTCCTTGTTTCATTAATATGTAATGGTAACTACTATCAAGTAATGACACAGTTAGAGTTTTCTTTAGTGGTAAATTACAAGGAACAAGTTATAAATGCTTTTGTTTCGCCAAGTTTGTCGAACAAAGCCAAAGAATTGTTTAAGAACGAGACGTCGTTCTTTAAATTATCTATTGGATTAATCAAATAGAACTTTGGCTTTAGTTTCACATTTAGAATAACAGATAGCAGCACTCGAAATTAAACTTTCTTAACTTTAATTTCTTCTCTCTCTTTTTTTTTTATTTTCCTTTTCTCTTCTATTATTATTATTAATTTTTTTTCTTTATTTATTTACACGTTTTATGCTTTAAAAGCAGAGAAAAAAAAAACTCTTTTAAACTTTGATTAGTTATAAAGAAATTTACTTAAGTATTTAACTTTACGAGTATTAAATTTCTGTCAAGATTATCGAAGTTAAGAAGATTCGTGTAGAAAAATTGATTGAAAAATCAAGTTAATTAATTAAAAGAATTCAATTTTAAAACAAACCAATTCATTAAATAAATCGACAATATAAATTAATTATGTTAGGTTTGTGATTTTTTTATTACTTATTTTATTTATTTATTTATTTATTTTTTATTGTTATTATTATTTTACTTTTGATAAATATTTTGCGAAGATAATGATCAAAAATGCAATCTAGTTACTGAAGAAAAAATAATAAAAAAATAAAAATTCTGATCGATATAAATGAAGTTTTAATTATATTGTTTGTGAATATATTTAACGAATCGATAATCATGCAAAAACTAAGGATTAAAGAATTAAAAATGCCTCATTTNTTATAAATTTATATAATTTATTACTGAAGAAAAAATAATAAAAAAATAAAAATTCTGATCGATATAAATGAAGTTTTAATTATATTGTTTGTGAATATATTTAACGAATCGATAATCATGCAAAAACTAAGGATTAAAGAATTAAAAATGCCTCATTTCCTGGTGTTTATCTTAAAATGGATTACAATACCAAACAGTGAGTTACATCATTAATTTTTTTTCCTTTTTTTTTATATATATATATATCCTTTAACGTGATAATCAGTCTTATTTTAGTTGAATACGTCGTGTTAAAAGTTTATTTAAAGTAATTTTCACAATGTATAAGGCCCAATTACACATTATCTGATGCAAAAAAGTTTTATGTGGTACTTTTTTTTCTTAATGAAATTACGTTGATAAAATAATTGTAATTTAAATTAAATTACCACGTTCTTAATATTTCAGAATAGTTAATGTAAATTATGTACAGTACCTTTTAACTATATTTTTTTTTTTTAGTCTTTTCGTGTGTTAAGATATGAAAACATTTTGTGATTTTACACAAAATAATTCTAATTAAAGCATTAAAAAATTTCGTAATGAAAGAGAAATTATTAAACATTATAAAATAATAATTTTTATTTAAATTAATTCTAGGTGTTTATCCCATTGGCGTAACTAAGGCCTCGTCGTATCGAGAGGCCTCAAAAATTACATAGAAAAAAAAATAATATACCTCTAAAAATTTAGTGAAATTTATGAATAAAAGGAAAACTTATTACTGAAGGATTTTATTGTCTTTTTAACACAAAAAAAAGAACACTTTTACATAAAGAGCCTTATAATATAACTGTGTCTTAGAGGAACATAATGTTATAAACATGAGAATCTATGACCGCCTATATACCATGAATATTAATGTTCTTACTGTATCTAAGGTCATTATAATATAAAATACTGTAATGTTTATCAATGTGAATGAGTTATAACTTGCTAAAATATAATTTTCTTACACTACAGTATTCAAATTAATAATATATAGAATCATAACTTAAAAAAATAATTAAAATAAATTATTTTCAAATATATTTACAATTACGTAAAATAATTTAAAAGAATTACGTTCATATAATATACAAAGTATATATATAATAAAAAAGGCTATTAAATTATTTATATTAGAAATAACTGAATAAAATATAAGCTATGGAACGATAATATATTAAAAGAAAATCAATTAAAAATTGAAAATTTTAATTATAATTTAAAAGATCGTAAAAATATTTTAAACTAGATTTAAGTGAATTTTCGTATAAATATTTTCTATACACATTAATTTTAAATTAACAAATATTACATTAAGCATTAAGAAGTGAAAGAATCGATCGTTGTAAATTCGTTTATCATGTTTGTTTGCTTAAACAACTTAAAAGATTCTAACGTTATACAAGTTTAAAACTTTTCATTTATCAAACAAACATTTGACAAAGAATGTTTCAATGAATTTAATTGATAAATTTAATTTAATTTAATTTTCGATTTATAAAAATTCCTCGAATTTTTCCTCATTATTTATTATGTATCAGAATGATAAAAATTTAATCATTATAGTCAATGAGAGAGAGAGAGAGAAGTATTATTTATATACATTTTTCAATACAAAATTGTATTATTAAATAATATTTTTATATATTAAATCGATCATTTAAAAATATATTTAAATATAAGATAATAAAAGGTTATTGAAGGAAATTTAGGAAAGTAAGAGACGTGTCCTCCATTCCTCCTAGTTATTAAACAGCTGCATTTTATATCCTCTCGTGATAGTTTTTTTTTCCCCTCTTATCTATATAAATATAGGCCTTTCTCGATAAATAAGAAGATAATGTATTAGTGAATTCATTGTTTATTAATTGCACAGTAGAAGATGCTCGAGGAATATACCACAAAATGATAAATATTAATGTACTGGTGAAGAAGTGATATTTCTTACGAAGAGGGGGAAATCACTAATTTATATAACATTTAATCTATGTAAGGATTTCTTTCAATGCCAAGTGCTTTAAGTAATTCTTGAAAGCTTTAAAAAAAGAAAAGTTCTACTTAAACTTTGAGAATTGCCAAGTTTTAAAATGCTAAATTATGATCATTTTCGTCGATTTATATTCAAATTATATAAATATAATGGGAAGAAATATCAAGAACTTCATTTAATCCATCCGGTTTACTCGAAATGAATTAATTCTAATCAATTTTATTCAAAAGTAAAGAAGTTTAATTATTAAAAAAAGAGAATAAATAAAATAAGTTTGTGTTTTATGTTACGAGTTTTAATTGGATATCGATTTTTAAATTTTTCTTGAATTTTTAAGAAGTTTAAAATAAATTTTTTTTTTTTGGTTTTTCTTCAAATAATTTCCACACTACTG